AAAATGTGTCTTGCTCCGTGTCAGTGACAGAGGATCCAGAAGCGATGCACTCAAACTCCAGTGCTTGCTGTCTTCGGGGGACAACTGGGGAAGTTGTCCCGGGCCCGGACCCAAGAGGGGGCCCAGGTGGGAGCGGTTGTGTGTCTTGGGGGCCCGGTTGAAGCAATTTTGTCCCGGTCCTGGGAATCTTGCGTGGTGGGCACTCGGTCTGAAACGTCGATAACATGATGCATTCAGTAATGTATAGGCACCAGCTAACAGTGCAAAACGTAATTCTGACAGCCTTAACAGTTAACATTGTTTCTCCCCTTTTATTTGCAATGGCAATTGAACCATTAGCCATTACACTCCGAAGTTCATTAATTTTTCAGGGAATAACCCGGGAGGGAGGTGTCAATAATAAAGTATCATTATATGCAGATGATTTGCTACTTTTTGTTTCTCAGCCATCTATTTCGATACCACATATTTTGACAGTACTGGATGGCTTTGGGAAACTTTCTGGGTATAAGCTAAACTTGGATAAAAGTGAAGTTTTCCCAGTAAATGAGGCTGCACGTTCTTACCCGCTATTATCTCTGCCATTTAAAGTGGTGAATAGTGGTTTTACATATTTAGGGGTGAATATTACTGATAAATTTGACAAACTTTTTAAATTTAACTTTGATCCACTCCTAACACGCATTTGAGATGATCTTTGTCGTTGGTCCCACCTGCCTATATCTTTAGCTGGTCGAATTAACTCAGTCAAAATGAACATCCTTCCCAAACTCCTTTATCTTTTTCAGTGCATCCCTATTTTTATTCCCAAGTCTTTCTTTTATAAACTTGATGGCTTAGTTTCGGAATTTATCTGGAATAAGAAAGTCCCACGCTTACGTAAAGAGGTGTTGCAGAAGTCTAAATCACTTGGCGGAATGGCATTGCCTAATTTTTTATTTTATTATTGGGCAGCTAATTTGCGGTCAGTTCTCTATTGGGTACAGGTTGATCCTGCTGTGTCACCAGTCTGGTGTTTGATGGAATCATCGTCTTGTGCCCCTGCTTCACTCTCTTCCTTAATTTCCTGCCCTCCTGACTTTAATTTATCCAGGTTCTGTAAAAATATTGTAGTTAAGACCACATTATGGGTTTGGACTCAATTTCGTAAGCATTTTGGAATCCAAACTTTACCCGTGTCAATGCCTCTCTGCAAAAACCCTTTATTTCCTCCCTCGTTGAATGATGGTGCATTTGAATTTTGGTCACAAAGAGGTATCGTGACTATTACAGATTTATTTGTTGAGGGCGTTTTTGCGTCTTTCCAACAATTAGTTGATGGGTTTGGTCTTCCATCCTCTCATTTATTCCGATATTTTCAGGTGAGGGACTTTTACAGGAAAGCATTTAATAGCTTTCCGAATATCCCACCGGACACGCCTATTGACAGCATTCTTAAGATATCCTCTACCCTAAAGGGTACTATTTCCACAATCTATAATTTTAATATCTTCTTTGTTCTACTTTTAAACAGACGTTAGAGATACTCTGGGCTCAGGATTTAGGTGAGGATCTCTCTGATTTGTGGGGATCTATTCTTGAACGTGTACATTCTTCCTCCATATGTGCTAGGCACGGTGTTCTTCAGTGTAAACTCTTACACAGAGTTTACTGGACTAAGTCTAGATTAGCCCGTGTATATCCCAATACTGACCCTTTGTGTGATAGATGTCGGAAAAATCATGGCACACTGATCCATATGTTTTGGTTATGTCCATCTCTGCGCACATATTGGACCTCTGTATTTACTACACTCTCAGATGTTTTGCAAATCACCCTTGAGCCATCTCCACTTACAGCTCTATTTGGAGTTTTACCAGACTGTATTCAAATGTCCAAATCTAAATCAGACTTTGTAGCCTTTCTTTGTTTAGTTGCTCGGCGTCTTATTTTGATTCATTGGAAGAAATCACACCTGCCTTCTCATACACAGTGGATAAGGGATGTGTTGATGTTTTCTAAGCTGGAAAAGATACGTTACTCTGTTAAAGGGTGTTTGTCCCACTTTTATAGAGTATGGCAGCCCCTTTTTTGTCATATTGAATCCCTCACTTTAGAACCCCCAGAACCTCCCTTGTAAGCAGAATATTTGGGTCATGTGTAGACTAATACTATTATGTTTAACCTGTAAAGGAGGAACATGTCCTGTTCATTAATGTCTGTGTTAAATTTACTTGAGATAAAATTCTCTCTCTCTGCTTTGTTTTGTTTTCTTTACAACCAGTTTGTTGAATATATGTAAGAAAAACTGTTAACTTTTTTTTTTCCCCATGGTTTAACATTGTTTCTTTTTTTCCAGTCGCATCAATGATCACAAACATTTTAAACAAACACTTTCTGCATTACCTATATGTACAGTGCACAATGCTCATGTGTCCAATAATACGAACTCAAATTAGTCGATAATTACATCGTTTATTTGTTTAGTCGCATCAGCCAATAAAATGAAACATAAAATAGTGCTCAGTGAGGTTTTTGTGCTACATGGACTTACCCCTATAAACAGCCATCTAGCTCAATAGAATGGATGTGTGGCTCTAGGTTTCATAACTATCTCTTTGAGGACGCGCAATTCGGCACTTACCATATCACTTAATACGCTGGAATCCGTTTCTCTGTGTCTCACAAAACTGGAAAGCCAGCTCAGCATGGTCACGATATGTGGGCTTCGATCGCTGCCACTCGCATCGCCACCCTTTCCACCCGTCTTCCGTTTTGCTTTCACGTATCTGTCTCGCAGATATTTCCATCTCTGCCTACAGAAGCTCTCATCTTTGCCCAGTGTTTGGGCGATTTCCTTCCATATTTCCGTGCAGCGTAATACGTCCTTATGCCCTTTCAATGACGAATTATATATGTGCGGATACCGCCGCACCACCTCACACAACCGTTCATTGAGAGCACCCATAATACAACTACTCCTTACCTACAGTCCGCGCGGACAGCCCCGGGGACGGAATTACGTCACGCGTACTGTGCGCAGACCGTAATAGCACACGTACAAGTGGGATTTGAGCTAGGCTTAAGACTACTGGAACCACAATCCCCTTGTTGCGACGTCGCCGGCGGTGGTTGGATGGTCCCCAGTAATGGCTAACGTGGCACTAGCTTTTTTGCGCATGCTCTGTTACAGTCGTCCACTCAGGCACCGGTAGTAAGATGGTGGCCTTAAAAATGCGGAGTAGTGTGTTGTCCGTGTTGTTGGTTAGCCTTCTGTGCAAATTGACGCACTCTTTATATTTTCATATTGGGGAAACGGAAAAGAAATGCTTCATAGAGGAAATCCCCGACGAAACCATGATCATAGGTAATGCTTTCGTTACGGTGCTAGCTCATGGTTAAGGCGTACCGATGTCCGTATCTGCGACCAAAGCTGGGGAGGTCCGCGCGCCTGTAACTCAGCGTTTGCCTGGTCTGGCCGCCGTTTAATCCCGAACCTGGCTTGATGCATGAGAGTAGAGAGCGCCGAGAGCTTTAGGACGATTGAACGGTGTTTATGTGCGGACCCACTTCCTGCCTCTGTCACTTAAGACGTGCGGCCGGATCACTCGATCCTCAACATGCCCGGCTTTGACTGCTGGGGGTTGCGTTTTAAATGGTGTGCAGCAGCCCGTGTAGACGCTTCTGTCAGCTGGGTTTTAATAAACCGCTCAGAGCTCCACGGCTGGACACTGCCGACTGGCTGCCTTTTGCGATCCGGAAAGGATGTTTAAGTATTGTATGATTATCATGCATGCTTTGGGTGCAGCATTAAACACGCTCTTAAAAATGTCGTCTGTACTGAATGATAGAAGCAATTTGGACTACTCTAGCTAAAGATCAATAATTGTTTATGCTGTTGCGCTGAAATCTCCCTTCTTAGGAAACTATAGGACGCAGTTGTATGACAAGCAGAGAGAGGAGTATTTACCTGCAACCCAAGGACTTGGTGTGTTTGTGGAAGTGAAAGATCCGGATGAAAAGGTAATTGCTACTCTATCAACGAGAGCATATGTTGCCCTGATTGTGTAGCTAGTTTTAGCTCATGCTAGCTCTGCTTGTGTCCAGGTGATCCTATCCCGTCAGAATGGCTCGGAGGGCAGATTCACTTTCACCTCCCACACCCCTGGAGAACACCAGATCTGCCTTCATTCTAACTCATCAAAGTTTGCCCTCTTTGCTGGGGGGATGCTGGTGAGCTGAAATCCCATATTACATCTGTGATTAAATATAATAGAAATCTGTGATGCTGTTTGCAACAAGGAAAATGACTTGTCTTGCTCATCTGTCGCCTCCATTACCAGAGAGTTCACCTGGACATCCAGGTTGAGGAGCACACCAATAACTATGCTGAGATCGCAGCCAAGGATAAGCTCACAGAGCTGCAGTTGAGGGTTAGACAGCTTGTCGAACAGGTGGACCAGATCCAGAAAGAACAGAACTACCAGAGGGTGAGTCGTCTCCATTTGATTAAACTAAATGTGTGCTGTGATTGTGTCCCAAAGTGGAGCTTCATTACCTGACCTGTGCCCTCTCATGTTTTGTCTGCTATGTATCATCCACTCTTAATATTGTCACCTGATGTGGTGGCCATGTTGCTGTGGGCTGTCTCTAAGGTGTCCTCTTGTCTTCCAGTACCGTGAGGAACGCTTCAGACAAACAAGCGAAAGCACCAACCAGAGGGTCCTCTGGTGGTCCATTGTCCAGACACTCATCCTGGTCGCCATTGGCTTCTGGCAAATGAGGCATCTCAAGAGCTTCTTTGAGGCCAAGAAACTTGTTTAGTAGTTTCATGTGTGTTTCTATCAATGCAGTACATGTCATCATCTGGTTTCTATATCCTGCTCTCAAGAAAAAAATCCCTTAAACGGTTTTAAATCTGGTTAAACTTGCTGATGTAATTTGGAATATTTTTCCCTCTTGACTTTTTACAAACACACTTCCATATGTGAGACATGGACAAAACGCCTTTAATTTTATGGAAGTTCTGCATTTTTTTGTTTATGGGTTGAAGCTAATTTTATTAAAAACTGTTTTTGTCTACGATGATGCCCATCTTCAAGCAAAGATCTTTCTTCTTCCTGGGATGTGAATTTCAGTACTTCTACTATGAGACCACTAGAATTGGATCACTTAGTTTCTTCTCAGTGGATTCTTAACTTTATCATAGACATGTTTGGGTCTTAGGTTCAAATTTTGATTCTACGAAGAAGTCAGCAATTGCCAAAAACTTAATCCTCTTGTATCCCGTTGATTTAAAAACATCTTTCATTTATAGTTTGGAATTGCTTGTATAATTTTAAAAATTGAATTTACTGTTTTCAGTTTATCTAGTTGAAGAATGTTGGTTTGGACTGGATATAATTTTTAAATATCTGGTGACGATATATTAGCTCCTGCAAAGGCTAAAGTTACTGAGGCTTGTTTACCTAAAAGGTCATTGAAACATGGCGACTTTGAGATGTCAGTGATCACTATGGGCTTGTGGGTTGAGAAGGGGGGGGTCTGTGGGGGGCTACAGTGTATTAACGTATTCATCATACCTGCTGTCTGGATTCTGGGGTATTGCTTTCCTTGGTCACATGACTTTTTATTTCTTTGTCCTGTGTCTGGAGAGCACATCCTGTGTTTTAATTGGCTTGTTTGTGCACATAACTCTAGCCGATATTCTATTGATAGACATTTCTATGAATAGAGCATTTGTAAATATTTCAGGTGTAAGACGTTTACGTTCCCTCTAGTTCTTGCACTCTGTGCAGAAAACCCAGACGTGATGAAGTGTGAGGCCATCCTGGGCTCGGCGGTGGGTGACGGCTTACATAGCATTGGTGCTAATGGGGCTGTGATGGTGCTCAGCTCATGGCCAATGTTGCATAAATCCCATTTTGCTTTTTTTTTTTTTTTAATCTGTTGGTAACCATGTTTTTTTGCCCAGACCTGCTGTTTTCGTGGGATTTAATCTCTTCATTTTCTTCACACAGGTAATTTGAAAAAGAAATGAAAATGTGACAGATCACCTCTCTTCTTATGGGTCAACCTTGCTTCCTAGACTTTTATGCTGTAATTATAAGGCCACGGGGTGATTTTTCTTCCATGGGTTTTCACAATTTTGCTTTTGTAATTACGTTCAGCTGTTGTCTGAATCCAAGTGAAATTGGCAATGAATTAAAACCCTATTTTTGCATTTGTTCTTTTTAGAATATAAAATAAAAGGAAACCATATGCCTTCTGTCTCTTTGCACAATCATTGTTATAAATAGCTTCCTTCTGGCTGCTACAGATGATGTGCAGTTTACAAACCTGACAAAACCTTCCAGATTTGATAGTGGGGAATTGAATGCATACTATAGTTTGAGTCACCAGTATAGTATACAACTGTGTGAAATACTAACATTTAAATAACGCTGAGCTGCTTGATGTTAGGCACATTATGTTTGTCAAAACCTTCACCCACCAGGTTTAAACATCTGTCAGGGAGTGTATAGAAGCAGTTCCTGGAGAAATTGGTTATTTATTCAATAAGGTGATCAATACCATGGCCAGCTGTTATCTTTAAACATCAGAGACCAAGAGGAAACTGGGTAAAAGAATGGTTGAACCAGGGCCGTTGGTTTCCCAGTCCTAGCACAAATGGACCCGTCAATATGTAAGCGTTTTCAGCCTTTAAAACCGATAACAATCTAAGTACCTTAAGATCACCGTCCATTAGTTCCCTCAGAAAGAAAATGAATTCTTTCGGAGAAGGGGAGCATTTAGTCTGATTAGCCGAGAGAAGGACTGGACGGCACCCCTCCTGTAATCTGTATATATGTGCTGCGCGTACACTTAATGCATGTTATTGTATGTAACGATAATCGAATATAAAAATAATACAGCCTAATTTTTAGAAAGAATTAATTTGTGTACCAGAAGCGTAAATTGTGTTTAATAATTAATGGTATTATTAAATAGTTTAATGTATAGTTAATCGTACCCTCTACTGGTGGGTGTTGTCGCAATTCAACTTTATTCAGTGGGTATTTATTTTAAAAAATTCAGCACATCACAAATTATTTACTTTTACAAAACTGATGTGCGCTATAATCTGCTGCATGTCGCTTCGGATTGGTATGTGTGAAGCACACAGGGAACATGTCCTCGCTGCTGGTCGGAACCTTCAGCTGTCGGTCCCGGTTACAGGAGGCAGAAAAAAACTGACCGGAAGTAGGTCGTGCCTTTTTTAACTGCGCGCATTTGCACAGCTATCAAGTGATGTTTTTTGTTGGTGTTTGTTTGTCCTGGTACATAAACATTTTACATATCAAATATTACGAAGTGAAAAGCTGGGATAGCGTTTTTTGGGAAAACTGGTTAGCCGTCTATTAATTACTGACGCAGCTGTACCCTTTAAAATCCAGTAATTACGTATTTACGCTATACATCAGTTATAAATTAAGTGGTAAGTACAAACTATTTTAAATAAAATAAATAATATTTAATTTAAAAATACATATATACATAAGTGATAGTTCAAATGTGATAAGTACAAGCTGTATTTAAACTGTAATAAACAGTTTAAGGATAAGGATAAAAATTGATTTTGATTGATTGATTTAAAATCAAATAATCTTTATAATCAAAGATACACACACATAATATTTCAAATAACTGATAACAACTAACTATTTCAAAATAATCTGTAATAAACCAAATCGTAAAATCGAGCGACTGCCATAAAGCAGTACCGAGCGGAAATTACGTATTTTTGCGCATGCGTATTTCAAATTGTTTCTGGTCCAGATCAGGTAGTGACGAACTGAGGCTTTATCAAAACTAACGGGATCATGCCTCCGGCTCATCGATCACGAAGCCGCAGTGCGGAGCGTGTGACCGCCTCGAAAAGAAGACGACCCAGTCGATCGGACAGCGGCAGTGACCGGAGTCGTTCCCGCGATCCAAGTCCCTCCGTCAAACTAGGCAAATCCGTCAAGGAGGAGCGCTGGTCTCGGTGGCCTGAAACCAGAGAACGATCTGCTGTCAGGTCTCACGTCGGGAGTCCACGGAGTCGCTCCAGGTCCAGAGAGAGGAGCGCCTGGTCCAGCCAGCGAGACGTAAGGCACAACTACGGCTCTCGATTTGACCACTACGACAGAAGTGATGATGTTCTGCGGCAGAGACAAGAAGCTTTCATCGCCAGGTGAGGACACGCTGTAGATTGGTGGCATGTCATACTGGATTTGGATTGTAAATATAATTAATGGACAAAACGAAATGCGGAATACCATGCAATGTAGTGTACATGAATCATTTTTATGTGTGACGGAATGCATAGATAGCTTCCGCCTTGGTCACTACCGTTCGCAGGAGCGATGCGTAAATGCTGCCGCCATCTTGGTACGGGGTAGCACTCTTCCTTAGTGTATGTCCGTCTATAGAATCAAAGGTTTCTCATAATACATAATACTTTGTCAAATTAAAAGTAATGGTTTTCATATTTATAATCTAATGTAGATAGTAAATAGTCCTTCTACTCCTATTTCTGTTGTATTATATTCTTTCATTAGAACCTCCATAAGCAGTACGAAAGTCCCGCATCTTCCATTTGTGGTGTATAGTTGTATACTGGTCAGAATCCCGTCACAAGATGGCGGCGATATTTACGCATGCTGACAATGGCTTTCCAGTTAGTCTAGCTTCACCTATTCTTCTCCGGACAATCTTTTTTCCAGATGCCCCATACAATCGGAAAGGGGATTCATCAGAGAAAATGACTTTACCCCAGGTCTTAGCAGTCCTATCCCTTTTGCAGAATATCAGTCTGTCCCTAATGTTTTTCTTGGAGAGAAGTGTCTTCTTTGCTTCCCTTCTTGACACCAGGCCACCCCCCAAAAGTCTTCACCTCACTGTGCGTGCAGATGCACTCACACGTGCCTGCTGCCATTCCTGGGCAAGATCTGCACTGGTGGTCTCCCTATCCCACAGCTTATTCAACTTTAGGAGATGCTCCGGGCTCTTGCTGGACATTGTTGGATGCCCTGAAGCCTTCTTCACAACAATTGAACCTCTCTTCTTGAAGTTCCTGGTGATCAGTTAAATGATTGATTTTGGTGCAATCTAACTAGCAGCAATTTCCTTGCATGTGAAGCCCTTTTTGTGCAAAGCAATGATGACTGCACTTGTTACCTTGCAGGTAACCATGATTTCAAGCACCACCCTCCTCCTAAGGCATCCAGTCTGTTATTCTAACTCGGTCAGCATGACAGTGATCTCCAGCCTTGTCCTCGTCAACACTCTCACCTGTGTTAACAGGAGAATCACTGAAATGATGTCAGCAGGTCCTTTGTGGCAGGGCTGAAATGCAGTGGAAATGATTTTTATGGGATTAAGTTCATTTTCTTGGCAAAGAGCGACTTTGCAATTAATTGCAATTCGTCTGATTAGTCTTCATAACATTCTGGAGTATATGCAAATTGCCATCATAAGAACTGAGCAGAGTTTTTGAAAAATAATACTTGTGTCATTCTCAAAACTTTTGGCCATGACTGTAGAGCCTATAACATATACAGGCAGTCCTGGGTTAAGAACGTCCCACCTATGGACAACTTGTACATACGAACGTACTGCCATAAAGCCTATTACATAAAAGTACCACCATAAGTATATTAAAACACGAGTGATTAAAATAAAAACAAATGAAAAAAAATAATACATAGCATTTAAATTAAATAATATACCAAAGAGACATTTTAATGGAATGGAAGTGTACAAAGGTTGATAAAATTGGGCAACATAATGTGATATTCCTTTACCATCTTCAGAGAGATTATCATTAATTTTTAACCGGCTTGCAGAAGTCATTTTGCCATTTTGCTTTTCCAAGTTTAAAAGAAAAACATTGTATTTTTCTCACCTTTTTCAAGGATCCATCCCACCCCAATAACACTGTTCTGCCTGCTGAACTCAGGCAAACGGTTCCAAAGCCTTGTAACCAGAACTGAAAGGTCAAAGAGGAGCTTTTTTCTGCAGGTCATAAGGCTCCTAAACCAGGACAAGTCTCAGTGCCCCTAGGT